ATAGAATTTATTTATATATAAATTTTTAAATATAAATAAAGAGTAAAGTATTTGAAACAAGAACTCAAATGCAAAATATAAAATATAATATATCTATTGACAATAAATTTTGTGCATAATAAATACATATTATAATTAAAATATTTTTTCACGTTCATTATTGTTAGTTTGATATATTATCAAATAATATGCTAACTTCATTGGTAAACATTAATATTCACTAAATGGGAAAGGTACATTCTTTATTAATAATATTATTTTAGAAAATGCCTGTCAATAGTGTATGGGTATTTCTTTTTGAAAGAGGTAACATTGCGTTTAATGCATTAATCTTTTTTTGTTATGATAACCATTGTCCTGAATGACAACAGGAATAATCATACCGAAAATTCACGAATGAATTTAATCTGGTTTTTCCAAACCCAAAAATTCTATAAATTAAGCGTTAACACCTTAGTTTGCAAAATAAAAATCTATCGAATTCAATGGTATAAGAATAATATATATTTTTTTATTTCAAATAATTATCAACAATAAGAACATAAAAATCAAATATCTTTAATATATATATATATATTGAATCCTCGAAATGTAAGAACGGCAGGGTGATGTTCATTTAATGATTATTTGATAATGAGAAATATTTTACATACTACAAAATCTTTATTATTATATACATAATATTTCGAGCTGTTTATTCGCTACAAAATTCATTCCGAATTCATATGTTGCAAATGTACAACATTAATGTTAAATGAAAAGACTTTAATATAATTTGTATATATAAAATCAATGTTTAAATAAAATTATAATAAACTCGAATTTGCAACAAAAGTCGATTTAATCTCATTTCACGTTCGAAATATACAAACTTTTTTCTCTAATGTTCAAGAAAAATAAATGAAATCTTGTTCGATTGCCTTGGACACCGAAAAATTTTACAACTCAACATTTATTGGTCATTTTGTCATAGATTGCTCGGTAGTCTGGTTGTCTAGTGGATGGGAACCTTAAGAATTCAATCCCTAATATGAACATTGACTAATATGATCTTTGATGTTACGTTTTCGAAAGGTCTATCGGGTCCATTGTAGGTATATAAAAATAAATTATGAAAAGATTAAAACAAACGCGAATGATCAAAGAGTGTGAAAATAACTCATGAAGTCGGATTTAATTAATTTTACCAAGACAAATCTTCAAAAAGTTCAACTTCGACGAAATTATTTTATCTACATGTCCGAATATTTATCAATTAAATATATAAAAATATTCAAGTCTAATTTTCAGTGTAATATTCGCAGCCTAATGTCAAGCAGTAGCGACTCCGGTTTTCACTTACTTACACTGTTAGAAATATAGATAGCAATATGCTATTGTATGCTGCATCAAAAATTAGTATTACAGAAATTGTAATAATAAAATTAATCACAGAGAGATGGACCAACTGTTTGGGTTGCCATCTATATAAAACTGTAGTAGTTTGTGAGTAATTCATCGCAGCAGCTCATAGTACCATGATAGTACCTTTAAGTTCTTATCGCTGATCAAGCAAAATAAAATAGTTTAATATCGGCTAAAAAGATTTTTAAGGGTCATTCAAAATTGCTGTGTTTGGGTAGGTATGGCAAGGTTTGAATGACTCTTAAAAATCTTTTTAACCGACACGTGGTTTTAAATGTGCTTCGGACGTATGATACACAAGTCGTTGCAGAAATTACTTCTTTTCACATTTTTGTCAAATAAAATTATCATCATTCTTTTTACATTATATAAAAAAAGAATAAAAATTCATTGTGTAGGCAAGTTTGTTGTATAAATGTTAGTGCTAATTTTTTGTGCTGTGTACACATCTTTAGATGTAAGCTACCAAAGTTAATGTAAGTCTCCTTTTATTTTGTATATGCTTTCTGTATACATATATAAATATGTGTTTGTCTACATATGTACATGTATGCATGTGCATATATATATATATATATATATATATATATATATATCTTATATATAAAATTCTTCTGTAACAATGTAAGTTTCATAATTCCTCCTAAACTATAATTCGGATTTTAATGAATCTTCCTGAAGTTTGTTCGGGAAATTTTCTAGAATGTTTTGATTCATAGAAATATAGTTAGATTTTAGAAATAAATGGAAAAAATTACAAAAAACCGCTTATCATTGTTTGCCCTTGAAAATATTTGAAGCTTAGTTTGACATTAAAAACAATTGAAGACTGTCATTTGCCAAACATTTCTGTTCACTTATAGGCTAAGGCAATATTAAAATATAATAAATTCATGATTATGATTAAGGAAAATGTAATGTCTACATTATTAATGCCGAAAAGCAGCTGAGATGTGCCAAAAATTAAATTAATATAAGATGCAAATAATATAACATTCATGTGATAAGTGATGCAGCCTGCGCATGCGTCTGACGCGCACGGCGATTCGTGTTCTCAACGTACGCGTAATCATTCTGTTTGCGCACTTTGCGAACAGATTCGTCGTACGAATTCGTGCAAAGGAGACGAGCCATAAGTGATTGCGCTCAAACATATTCAATTTGCAGTCGTTTTGCCTTACTATACTAAGTCACAATACAAAAAAAAATATTTAGAAGTTTCATTGTGTCAAAAATTCATATTATTGTCATTGGGTACGGAATATTTACTCAATGGAGCGATTTCGGTCTGAACTTTTTTTACTGTTTTCCATTTCGTTTGGAATTTTGGAACTAGGTTCATCTTACTCTTCAGAAGTGAAAACAATTTAGACTCCTTTACCACTTCTCGGGTGGATGACATTTCTTTTCAGTGGTGTAATTTTACTTTTTTCAAAATAACGTTGGGTATCGATAAAAGAACTAATTATAAGAGAAAAATGTTTAATAATGTTTTTCAAAAAAGCAAATACTTTTCAAGTTACTGGCTACTGAAAATTTGTTTCTTTTTTGCGTTTTTCATCATTTTTTGCCAATATCTTCAAAAATATACATTTTAACGAAAATCATGTAATGAACAGAATTATATCAATTAAAATCTTAATAAATCGCTATTTTATAGTGTTTTAGGAACATTATTAGGCTAGATATGAAAATGGGTTTTTATAGTGCTCAAAATAAGCTTTAAAATGAGTACTTCCGCGTGTAAAATGAGTAACTATCATGCAAATAAAAGACGCATATAATGTTTTTTCATTTAAATAAAATAGTTTTTCAGTGTCATTTCCACCAAATTTAAAAATAATCGTATTCTATCTAGAATTAACTTGGTTTAAGAGATCTTGATGGATTCTGGAAAATACCACAATTTTAGTACAAACGATTTTCAAAAAACTCATGATTTCATTAAAAAAACATCCAATTTCTCATTATAATATCTCTGAAAGAATACGTATAAAAGTATATATATATATATATATATATATATATATATATATATATATATATATATGAAAATTCGAGGTATTTTTCTGACTAATTATTGTTGTTTATTATTTTTCCATTATACAAATATTGATAGAGGTATTAATTAAGGAATGCGCGGCTGTCCAACCAGAGATCTTTCGAGCCCTTTAACCCTTCGCCGTTTCACAATAAGAGAAGTTACGGTAAAATTTATGATAAAGAAAGTTGTAGCTCATTTAATCACCTTTAAAATAGTGTATTACAAGTTCTGATAAAATCAGAATTAGAAGAGTAATAATCTAATTAATGTGGTGGATGGTGACGGAGTGCAAATTGTTTTCACTTCTGAACTTAAGATAAAGATTAGCCTATTTCCAAAATATCAAGTAAATTGAAGCACAGTAAAAAATTCACAGAGCAATAATTTTGTTGATCGTAAGTTGAATAGAGCACATGTGAACAGGATTTGACCAATTAATTCACTTCAAATATAAACTTAAGCAATAATGTATATTGAATTATTGGAGAAAAAAATGTAATTTAGATATTAAAATTACTAAAAGCCAGTTAAAATATGGTACGAAATTATAAAAATTATAGGCAACATTATTGAAGCAATTATTTTGGGTATAAAAACAAAAGGTGATATTGCACTTTTGCCGCAAATGCTATATATTAATTCTTTCTGAATTTGTTGTACTTTTTAAAAGATTTCAATTTTCAACACGTGTATCTTATGCTATGACCATAAATCACAAAGGCAGACGATCATTTTTAGTGTGATAAATTTGGAAAATCAATGTTTTAGTTGTGAATAAACAAAAAATCATTCATTTATACATCCACATCTACAGGTATGACTAAAAATACTATATAACCAATGCAATAAAATAAATTGAGCTATTGGAAATAAATTTGTTCTATAAATCGCAGTGTATAATTTTTAATATACAATTTAATGAACATTTTTTAATATTTGTTAAATGAATAATTAAAATGTTAACTGTGGGAATTGAGAACAATCATTTTATTTGAAACAGTTCTACATTCAACATCACTCATATATTGGTGTAAATAGTAATTCAAAAAACAGTAATTATTATTTTTAACTAAGCAGTAAATATTATTATAAAATATTGAAAAATTATAGACGTGGGTACAGAACAACGTCTGTCGGGTCAGCTAGTATATATATATATATATATATATTTATATGCTTTTGAATATACATGTGGATGTATGTATGTACTTCTGTGTACATATGCATATATGTTTGAATTTAAAGATTAATTTATAAATATTTGTTTTTTTCTTTTATGTATCACCCTATAAGAACTCATATATATCAACACCAAGAATAACTACTAAATCATACATATACAGCATATATATATATATATATATATATATATATATATAATTTTATTTTATATAATAAAAGTTCATTCATTATTGTATGATGGAAGTTTATTTAGTACTATTGAATGATATTTATACAAAAATAACTATTAATTTGATATTTACAATTTATTAAAACACAATATACAATTTATTATTTTAAAATATGTCACTTGAAACAAGCTTCATATTTCTTAAATAAAATTTAAAAAAATAAAATCTTTATATTATGACTTCTCTTCTCTTTGTTTATTGTACCTCTCAAGTTCTTTGAGAAATTGTGATTTAGGCTTCATAACATTTGGTCGATCACCTCTACATTTTGGACAGTACCATTTACCTTTTGGTTTTGTACTGAGTGCAACACAAGAGAAATGAAACCATTCTATTGGACATAGATCATTGTCACATAAAATCATTTCACCAAATGATATTTGGTCACATAGACAATAGGTTGGTTCGTCAGGATCAATGGTGTCTGGTTCTTCTGGAGGTGGAGTATTGCTCCTTTCTCTTTGTATCGTTTGTTGAACATTACGTGCTTTCCGCTTTTTCTTTTTGCCACCACCTGCTGAATAAATTTGTTGGCATACACATGTTAAATCCAAATTATATATATACAAATACAAATATATATATATATATATATATATATATATATGTAGTAATCAATAATATTTCCTAGTAGTTGTTTTTATCTACAATGGTCTTTGTCCATTTTACCTATTAGTGTTGCAGGACTTTTCACTAGATTATTTGCATTAGTTATGCATTTTTTTTAGTTTATTCACCTGGTCTGGTATGTATAATCTTACTTCATTTTCTGTATACTTATACATTTGTATCTTTGAACACACGTATGTTTTTTTAGCTGAATGATGAGACACATCTGGTCTTGAAACGTATAGTCCAGAATATTTTTTATTTTGACGCATTAGCTGTTTTTTTATTACATATCATAATGTGTATATTAAGTTAAATACATATATAGTATTAACAAAAATAATGTTTAAATTGAGACTTCCTTATGTACACATATATTTTTTTAGATTACATTACATACATATACTAAATTGCAGCATTAATTACGCAAAAATTCGAATTGCAGGTAAGTATATACTTAAAAAAAATCTGTGTAACCGAGGGATAAACGAGGTTCTACTGTTTATGAAAAACTATGTGATAATGCCCCCTCAATGTTGTGCCCGCATTTTCGCATGCATTGCATTCAAGGTATATATATATATATATATATATATATATATATATATATACACACACACACACACACACACACACACAATAAACATTACCTTTCTTATTTGTAGAAGTATTTGCACATATATTGGTGGAAACTTGTTTGGCAGGCGACTGTTCAACTGAAACGCTGTTCTCACTACTACTGATTTCTTGAGTTTCATTTTTTGTTCTACGAGCACGTTTTGATGCACGTTCACCTGAGTTTTGATGTTGAAGTGAACTTACAGTACAACTAGCTGATGTAGAACAAGTTACATTTGTAAGAAGTGGTAATGTAGGCGTTGCTGGGTTTGGAGTGATAGATACTTCTTTCAGTGGTTCAATGACAGGTTCATCTTTATTGTAATCTGTGAAATAATTATAACAATTTGGTGCAATTATATCTTTGTATATAGAATGAACAAACAAATAATTACCTAAACTTTTATAATTTTGATCTAATAGTCTTGATTTATTATCAATTAGATCCTGCAGTTGTTGTACAATTTGAAGTTTTTCATCACCCAATTCCTGTGCACATATTAAAGATTGCTGTATGCGGTTGATGACTTTGGACTTTCTATTAACAAATACAGCATGATCTGGACTCATATTTATATTATTCAAAGTTTCATAGTTATTTTCCACCTCCCGAATGCAAGCTGTGTAAATTAAAATTAAATTAAATTCATAGTTGTAAATATGCAATTCTACTGAGTTAATAATGCGATAACACTTAGGTAATTACCTCTATAACTAATATCAAGTTCACGAACTCGAGATAAATATCTCTGTAAATCATCAGGTAGATTTTCAACACAGTCAAGATAATTATCAACGTAAGTTGCAGAATATACTGCTTCTTGATTCGTAACGGGATTTATCATGTTCATATATATATAGAATTTTGTTAAATGTATTTGAATTAGCACATTTTAAGTCATTTCCACTCCTTGCAATCATTTAATGCCTAACCGATCCCAAACCACAATCCGATTGACGAGTACGTTTTGTGTATGCCTTCTGTAACTGTCAAGCCACTAAACGCCATCTCCACCGCCATCATAATATCATAGATATGATTTGTCATTCCCGTCGATGTTCCACTACAAGGTATTTTTCGATACTGCTACTAAGATCAGAACCGGGCCACGACTTGGTCGGTCCATAGATAATAGAGTTTTGATCTCATAGATAAGAGAGCTTGGCCACTTGGTATCATCTTTATCATTATCTTAAATATTATATATTCTTAAATTGATTCTTTCAATTCTAAATCGTTGTCACTTTGAGTTGGCTGTTCTTTTAAATTTTAGTTAACAAATTTTATCATATTGGGTTGGATGAATTTATTCACGTTCCAAATTGAGGAAATAAAGAGAAAACTATCACTTAGTTTTTCCAGCAAGAATTACAAGTAGGTAGACACTTCATATTGATTTTCTTTTTTATTCATATTGAAATAATAAGAGAAAATTATACTCATCTCATAGATAAAAGAGTATCTGATGATACTCTTCTTTTATCTATGTGATTAGAAATTTTACAAAGAACTGAATGCACTATTCTTCATTTTTAATTAGTAATCAAGTACACACACACTCTAGAGAATAATAGAATACAATATATTTATGATACACACGCATTTGTTATAAATATATAAAATATATTTATACCTTTTATTTTATGTACTTGTTTTGTTTTGATACGCTACATCAGGGCCTTTTCACTTAGAACAAAATCCTCGTTCAGAAGGAATACTTAGGGGTCCATTTGTAGTCGCAGATTTGGCGCTAGTGAGCCGATGAAAAAGTATTTTCAAATATTTTATGTTGGTTACTAAGAAACGTCAGTGTCACTTTTGTTTAAGTTTACAAAATGGCGATTCTTGTTCGTTTGTGTTTGTATATTTGTTAATAAGGATTTCATCAGGAATTGCTCTCAAAGGCATAGCCCTTTGGCAATATGAATAGAACAGCTTCAAACTCATATGGAGGACATAATTACTACATTACTACGTAGTACATTGACATATTAGTCTAATCATAATACACTTTAAGGAAAGAGGTCAGTTCTAGGAAATCTACTATAAATGTCTTGCTTCTACAAGAAAGACATAATAGACAAATAAAAAGCTGTTCCAGCTGTTTAAAATTGGACTACCACTTCACACGGATCTGAATGTACTTGGGAGAAAATGAATTGCTTAAGAATGTCAAATTTTGCACGGGATGATTATTAGTTAATGAGAGTTAAGAAGTTAAGACTGACAGACGATGTAATGAACTAACACTATATGCATTATTCACTAAATTGCAATAAATATATATATTAATAAGTAGAAAAAAGTGTAGAAGTTATTCCAGTAGATTAGATGTGATATCATAATGTGATATATATAAACCGGTGTATTGCAGTGTATTTATTGATTTATATTTCGATTTGATTGTAATTTATTATAATATAATATTATCTAGTATATTTTTGTTATTATTGTATTATTACAAAACATAATAGGATTGTAATAACAAATTTAGTTTCAAATACCCGTGCACTAAAAATCATTAATTTTGATTTCAAATTTTGCGCCATTAATTTGAATGCCAAAAGCAGCGCCATCATGTCGAGCGGAGGACCCTTTAAGTATTCCTTCTGAACGTAAAAATCGGGCGAGAGAAGCGTCTATATGAACACGGGGTATTCTAATATTGTCTAGGCGCTACATTGCCGTCAATGTAGCTGTTTGGTACAATACATTGCATTAATTTTAGAATCCATTGATCCGTTGATTTTTTTTTAGTTGAATTATTAAATAATTATTACTTTGATATATTGTGACCTTATTACCTTATTTAAAGGGTCATTACGACAGAGCAAAAATACAAAATATTGTCTACGACATATGTTTTATTTTTTATTGCTTTCGCATATAAATTATTATGAAATTATTAGTATAAGCAACTATAAATAAATGATAGAGGTAGTATGGTGAACAGGGATATTAGAACTAGAAGAATACTGACGTCAATATCAATATATTAATATATTGTCTAGGTCAATATTGCAATTATTTTCATTATATAAAAATATTACGTAATAAGTAATATCATATGATGACGTGATCAGTTTTACAATTATAAAATAATAATAAACTTGCTTACAATACAATATTGCTTTAACATGAAATCCGCAAAACAAAAATATGTAAATTATTCATAATTTTGAGAGACATATTTTTTTTTGTTATTCTAATTATATTTTTAACATTCTGGTTATGATATAATAGTAATAAGTATAATGAGCATAAAGCTTTCCAAAGTAACCCACAATCATCCCACGATACTTTGATTGAATTATTTTCAAAAAGATCTGAGAGCGCGCATTTGTTATTGAAATATAAGCCATGAAAATATGAGCATATATACCATAAATAATTATAGCTATGTACAAGTTAAAACATTATGAGATGAGAATATAATATAACTATATTATATTCCCATATTGTCTAGGATACAAGAGCTTTTGTTTCACAAATTGATCGTTCACAATCGATTTATTATTATTGAATATTTTGAGACAAATGCCAAGTTGGTAACATTTATTTCTATTAAAAAATTAAAAATAAAATTATTCTTATCTTTTTTGTCCTTTTACGAGTTTAACCTAATTTTAAAAAGTTAATTTATTTCCAAATGTAACCTTTCATAAACAGCAAATCGTATATTTATAAGAGAAAATTGAATGAAATAACAATATAAATGAAATTAGTTTTTTTTTGTTGGATATTAAAATATTTATATATATATATATATATATATATATATATGTATAATTATTTTACATAAATTTATTATGTCGATGCGTCGAGAACTTGAATTATACTCTTCTATCTATGCATGCGACTTATGCTTATTTATCTAGGTTGTGGACTGTGATTGCACATCTAACCATAGATAAAAGAAGAGATAATCAAACATACCCAAATTCGCGCCGTAGAGGGAAACACCAATGTTCGGGTTCGGGTAACACTATTTTAGCCTTGTTTGTTAAAGATGTGTTTTGAAATCACAACACAATAAGCAAAAGTTCAATATGGCCGATTGCAATGAAGGTGAAATTTTAGATGCGACCGAAGAAACAGGTAAATAAATCCTGTAAAACGTCATATATAATATGAAAAATTAATTTTACAAATGTCCCGTTTGTATTTTGTTTATCATAAGATCTGTTTCACCGTTTATAAAAATTAAACTTGTTTTTCATGCATGTGAGGGTTAGAAGGTATTCGATTGGTTCATTATTGAGATATGTTTATAATTACGCTACGTTATAGTTGCGCATAAGTTTACAGTGTGGGTTTTAAAACTGTCATCGATCGAAATAAATGTTTATATCATTTGTATTTTAGTTGTTCGTAGAACGCGGTCGGGACGTACGGTAAAATCAGTATCATCACCGGCGCCTAAAACTCGTGGAAGGAAAAAGGTTTCGGTGTCCGAAGAATTAACTGAAGAAGAAGAATGTCAAAAAATGGTTTGTGTTTAACTATTTTTTTTTAAGTATACTTTAACAAAGCTAAGTTTTATGAAAAATAATACAAAATTTACATGATGTATTTTCATAATTTCATTAACTCTGTAATCATACAGTTTTAGCTCAATAAAGCATTCACGTCACTAAAGATTTAAAGTTTACCATATACTTTATTAAATGTTGTAATGTTGATAGATGTGAAAATCAATATTGTTTAATTTATAATATGATGATTAGCTTTTGGCATAGTAACCGTGTTACTTATGTCCTGAATATAATTGGAGAAATGCAAGGGCCATCTGATTTTGTATTTGGTTCAGTATACATTAAATGTTATTATTCATCAATAAAGAAGTCTTTTTTTTAGTTTCCAATTAAGGAAGTGAGTGCTGACAATTCTGAGAATTCAAACGGATTGCAATGTATGGACCAACAGATGAGCGAGTCACAATTTGCGATGGCTGCTAGTGACAGCAATGAACCTTCTGAAGAACTCGAAAGTGCAAGTGAGAGTTTAATTAAACATTCAGAAGATAATTCTCTTACCCAAGAGCATACTTCAGAATCTGAATTGGATGCAGATGAAGAAAATGTTGACAACCAAATAATAGAAATCAGTAGTGGCACAGCACAAGTAGTGGCTAGTGATTTAGTGGAAACTAATGATAATAGTGCTGATACGCAAAACATTGATGATTCTGATTTACCACAAAAGTTGATGTCTGTTGATTCCAGTGAAAGTGCGCTTGAAGATGATGAATCAAAGCAGGAAGTAGCAGATGTAGAACACATAGAAACTGATGTACAGAACTTTATTTCTGAAACAATTACTAGTGCCGTTGAGAGTGAAGTTGACGCTCAGGAGATGTTCAATACGGAAGTAAGTAAATTTATTTTTTACATTTTAAAATTACATTTCTAGAACAAATTGGAACATTTACTGATTAAATATTGTAAGTGATAATTTTGTTATTGAAATTGACGAATATCGTTTGTATATTGTTCATTAGTTTATTAGTTCTTTATATAAACTTAGGGAAGGTAGCTCAAGAGGGAATTTTATGCTCTATATGGTTTTGTGTGTTTAATCACTCCTAATCTGTAATAGTTACTATAGCTAGAACATATTAGCAATAATATGTATTAAAATAATGCACGAGATTTTAATTATAAATTTTATGTATGTTTATATATACATATATTTATATTTAGTGACCAACTCAAAAATCTCCTGTGACGAATGATTTGAATCAGAAAAGAAACTGATATAAATCAACTCGAATCAAGCCTATATTGGGACAAAAAAACATGGATGTATTTATTTAGTAAATGTAATCACAATTATTAGTTTAAGCAATATACTCGACAAAGTAAAGATTGTAATCATAAATTACTGGGTATTGTAGTATTCAGAATGATTTATTTTTCTTTTCAATTTATAATCAGTAAAGGATCGCATCTGAACAGAAAGCTGAAAGGCAATTTCATTGATGTGAATTTGCCATTACTTACATAATCAGGAGTTACATATGATTTACTGAATTTCTTGTGTTTAATTATTGTTTCAAAGAGAATGTTTTATTGAAAGTTTCCCGAAACTTGTTTCATAATTTGAGTTCCTTTTTCTGATAACATTTAAAGTCTAAAACACTTAATTATTTTTAAAATTAGGTATTGAAATTTTACGAACAATTTCGCTCTCAGTGCTTTGTAAACTAAACAAACTTGCCAGAATGACGACGCATTGTATCTGTTATTTATAATATTGTTGTATTGAAATTATTTTTTATATACTTATGAAAATTTGTGTTCATACTATTTTAGCACAGTAAATATTTTGATACGAGTTGATTCAAATCAAATATGGTCAAAGGCCTGATTCGAATGATTTGAAGCACTTGATTCAACTTAGTACATTACAAATATAAATAAAAATTAATTTTAGAGTTTAAGTATAGACACCACATATAAAAATAATATAAGAAACTTTGTTTACACTAATAGAATTTATAAAGTTCAGACCAAACCAGCAAATCTTTTGAGGTAATTTTTTTTATATTATATATTATATTCTTTAAGGTAATAAAAACTTATAAAATTGTATCATTAAGACATAAATTTGATTTTTTTTTTTTATTTAGGAACCAGATCCTGATACTGAGATGGTATCGGAGGATGAACTACCTGCACCTCCAAAAGCAAAAGTTCCAGAAGATGCAGAGGAAGTATCTGATGAAGAATTGCCAGGTCCAAAATTAGCTGAGTTACCTGCTGACACAGAGGTTCACATTTATTTTTTTAAGCTTTTGAAGCTTTTCATGTGTGGTCAAAAGTATTTTGGTATAAAAACTTTGCTTATGGAAAAATATGTTTCTATGCAGTAGTTTTTGGATGAATCCTCTTTAAATATGGTACTAACATTTATTGTTGCATTTATATTTTTGATATGCATTTTAGATGTTGTAACAAATATCATTTGTTAAGAATATCATCATTTACATATTGCCTATGTTTGGTTGAACATATTTTGACGTAACAAGCTTATATTTAAAACTTGCTTTGGTATTATGATAGATACCTTTGAATATTCTCATTTTACCTTTGATATTCCTTATTATAATTTGGTTTGTCATTTAACACCATTTGGCAAACCTTAGTATATCAATTACTCACTAATATTATTGTTAGTACTAATGACTGTTGTGTAAGGTGACCATATTTTTTCATCAAAACTGGGATGGCAACTTGTAGTTATACTAATCCAAAACAGTTGCCAGGGGAGGTATAAGCATACTCATTGTATATATCATTTTAAAATATTATAATTTTAATATCAAGTAATTTTGAAGATTCAATTTTAAATCTTTAATACATACTTTTCAAAAACTGTGACAAACATGTCTTATGGAAAAACCAGGGACACAAGGTGGAAATTCCTGACTGTCTCGGCCAAAGTGGTATGTATGGTCACCTTATGTTTTAGATGGCCAGGTCTTTCTACTCTTAAGCTCAACTGTGTTGGGTCGAGATAGAAATATTGTTTATCTCAGGGATATATACATAAGCACGTTCCATTTTATTTATTTTAATTTTTGATCAACATTAGAAATTTCTCTTTTTCCTGCTGCAGGTTGTTTCTGAAGATGAATTACCAACGGTTAAGGCAGCCAAACGTAAGCATGAAGAATCCGGTTATGATCCTAGTAGTCCAACTGATAGTAAAGAATGTTCTGGGAGTAGTAAAAGACTTGCTCTTGAGAGCACTGTAGAAGCAAAAGAAGAAAAAGATGATAAGAAAACATCGGTGAGATTATTTTTGGCATAAACTTTTGCCTTATTTCTAGCTATTGACCAATCTTAATATAAGTATAATTATATATTATTTACAATTCTAAAAGATATAAATTGATTTGATTTGTCGATTAAAAATGATAAATGATATCATTATGTATTATAAGCCTGTGTTATGTTATCACCTTTCATATAATTTCAAGCCCTTAAACATCTAACATACCTCTTTGTAGTAGTGACACACAATGCATTGCAAGTATTTTAGATCTGCAGAGTATTTTTTCAATATTTAAGGTCAAATCAAGGAAGTTACCTGACTTGGACAAATATTGGAAAGCGGTACGTGATGATCCTGGAGACTTTACTGGGTGGACTTATCTTTTGCAATATGTAGACCAAGAGGTATATATTTAATCTGTTGAATGCATTTCTGTTCAAGCAATTGATATGAGTCAATTCGTTTTTTAATTAATAAATGCAATACCATTTGAATGTGTAATAAGACTTGTGTAATATGACTTGAATGTGTAATTTTTAATAACTGAATGAAGCTGGAAATTCTAGGACAGTTTTATATTATTGGAGTAAACATTTTTGTATCATTTTTTGATTTTTATTTTGTACATTATTTAATAGTTACTTGTATCGGAAACCTGTTAATCAATTGGTAACAAAACTGTTTGTGATATAATTGATATGAGTTAAAACTAATTTGTATAATTTCAAGAGTTGTTTAGGAATCAATGTTATTAGTATGAGTTACATTATTATTTTTGTATATTTCTTTCTGCAGAACGAAATTGAACCTGCTAGAGAAGCTTATGATGCGTTCTTAGCTCATTACCCGTACTGCTATGGATATTGGCGTAAGTACGCTGACTATGAAAAGCGCAAAGGAAACAAAAAGAAATGTGAAGAGGTATGTGAAATATTTTTATATTTTTATTAATAAATCAAATGCATGCAAGCAGTTTTTCTGGTAGTCAGTTTTTAGAATTCATTAAATACAAATAATATGGATTAAACATTTCTTTCCATTTTCTACAGCTATCTAAAAAAAAAATTGTCACCATTTGCAGTGTATTCTACACAGAAAGTGATAACAATGATATATATTTAGTTATGTGAATTATGTTTATATATATATAATGTTTGTGTATATATATACATATATGTATATTATATATATATACATGCTTATATATATATATATATATATATATATATATATATATATATATGCCTATGTATATGTGTACACATTTTATTGAGTATGTTATTTGTTCATATAAAATAATTTATAATGAAGTAAGAATGATAGTCTATAGAAATAAAATACATAATTTTGGAATACGTCAATGAAATGGGATTGTAGGTTTACTCAACATTGTTCAATGTTGGATATAACTGCCTCCCTTGTGATATAAAATTTAACAAGAGCTCTAACTACAAATTTAAAATTGTCCTAAATTACTGACTTCTCACAAATGCTAATAATAAAAAGTCGGAAGCAGAGCAAAATGGCTGGTGCAAAATCAAAGCAGAGGAAGCTGATGCTGTTTTGAACGCGACTATGCACATCCCATTCAGTAAGACCTAACTACAAACAAAATATAAACAAAAATATGATTGGGCTAATATTAGAATACGGGGAACATTATATACTGTATTTTTTTTATTGGCTGGAGTTTTCATTGTCTGTTCTATTATTTGTGGTGAATAATAAATCAGCTATTGTCAACTCCAGTATAATTTATTTGTTCTATAATCAAGTGTCATTATAGGTTTTTGACCGTGGTTTACGTGCAATCCCGCTATCTGTTGATCTATGGCTACACTATCTGACATACCAGAAAGCAACCTATGGAGATGACACCGGTCGCATTAGAGAACAGTTTGAACGAGCTCTCAGCGCATGTGGGTTGGAGTTTCGGTCAGATCGATTATGGGAGGGATATATTAAGTGGGAATTAGAGGAGAAAAACTACCGAAAAGTTATGGAAATATATGATAGGCTGTTAGCCACGCCCACTTTTGGATATATGTCTCATTTTGATAGGTTCTTATATTAAGTTTTTTCATACTTCTCTGGCATTATATTAACTTAGTTCTTGTTACAGCTTCCAAGAATTTGTTACTAATAATCAGCCTCCTCAAATTTTATCTCAAGAAGAATTTTTGTTGCTTCGTGCTGAGTCTAGAACAGATAAAGATATTCCTACTGATTCTAACATTCCACCAGGCGAAGATGAAGCTAATGATAATATGGTATGGAATTATTATTATATATTGTTACTCTGGTTTCCCTTCAGAGCTAATAAATCTTTCGCCTTTTTTTTTATATATTGTGTTACGCTATGATATAGTTGTAATCCATAACATGTAACTGAGTGTTTTTTGATTTTTATATGTAGCGAAATGATGAGGAATGTGCAGCAATTAAGCAGTTGCTAATAGCATCAAGACATAAAATTCATAAAAATACGATTGCAGAAGTAACTGCACGCTGGTCTTTTGAAGAAGGGGTAAGTATATTAGTTTCATAACATTTTGACACTGTACAGTTACAATTCTATTGTTTTCTAGATTAAGAGGCCGTATTTCCATGTTAAGCCACTGGAACGTTGTCAGCTCAATAATTGGAAGGATTACTTAGATTATGAGACCCAACATGGATCCCAAGAGCGAGTGATAGTTCTTTATGAACGATGTTTAATTGCTTGTGCCTTGTATGAGGAGTTCTGGCTACGGGTAATGTTTATAACAATGTTGTTACCAATTGTGTTTATTGTATTTTTTTTTATTCTAGTTTTATATAAAGAACATATTATCAGTAGTGAACAAAGAAGGTTGAGAGTACATGCATTTTTAACTTAAATATACTACAAATTATATTTAATCTTTTCCTTATTTCACTCTTTTGACTTCTATATCATTTACTATTTTCTTTATATGTAAATATTTTTAATAAACTTGAAATTAAAATTTTTGAATTATGGTCACTTTCTTGTACTCGTTTGCTGCTGTAGCAAAGACATAATCCTAGATGGTACAATAATTGATAATAAATTTTGAAACCTATTTGATAACATGAAACGGAAAATTTTTGAATGACATATTTATATAAAGTGTATGTGTATATATATGTAATTTGATTAAAACTTTCGAGTAATACATATAGCTGTGATTGCATTTATCTAAGTTCACATTTTAAAATATTTTAATTGGTTTTAGCTTGTTCGATATTTAGAAACCCAGAATGATGAAAAATTAGTTAATCATATGAGAGATGTATTTGAAAGAGGTTGTACTGTACATCATCCTGATAAGCCAACTTTACACCTTTTATGGGCAGCATTTGAAGAGAATCATAATGCACATAGCAAGGCTGCGGATATTTTAATTCATATTGAAAAAACTTGCCCGAATGTACTGCAGGTTTGTCTTTACTGGTGCAAGTATGAATAATTGTATTATACATACAATTTCAATCAACTTAATTTTTTGTTTTTAGATTGCCTACAGACGTATTAATTTAGAAAGGAGAAGGGGTGACTTAGAGAAATGTGTTCAGCTATTTGAGCACTACATTCAAACTTTAAAAAATAAAACAGCGGTAGCAGGTCTTGTCATAAAATATGCCAGGTTTTGCCACAAGGTATAAATAATATGTGATCTTATTGTTATAATATTTATATATGCACATTTTCACAAGTTATATGCTGGGTCTCAATGTTCAAGATCAGAAAATAAGATTTGATAAAGCTTATTTATCGAATTGTAGTAAAAACAATTCATAATAACCTAACAATAATCAAGTTATTTTAAATGCATATTTAATAAAGCAGTAACATGTTTGCAATGCTTCACTAAATTCATTAATATCTTTCCAGTTTTTGGTAATATATATCTTTGTGTGTGTATGAATATGTATATGTATGCAAAAATGTGGGGGCTTCATTGAGAGGAGCGCCATCACAAGATCTATATAAATAATATATACAGTAGAACCTCGATTAACCGGACTAATTGTTGTCGATAGGCATCCAAATAATCCAATGTATGAAGAATATACTAACCTGCAGCATAAATCATGCACAAATTCGAATTGTAGGTATGTACATGCATATAACTGTGTCGCGGTTGGTAGTCCGGATAATCGCAAATTCGTTTAACTGAGGTTCTACTGTTATATCATAATTTATTATTATAATTTAAAAATAGAATAGTTAATAATTAATAACTACCATAATTAACATTCTTTTTCATATAATTTCAATGACAAACTGTAGAAACAGTTAAAACAGTGAAAAGAATTACATATAATATAGAAGAAGGAAAAAAAATATATATATATATATAGTCTGTGTCTCCATTGGAGCGTGCATTCTGCATTCCAACTTCATATACAATTGAGTTTCTATAATTAATTATCTTTACTAGTAGAATAATTTCTATTTGAATGTTTTAGATTTTAGGGAATATGGACAAAGCCCTTGAAATACTGAAAGCAGGTATTGAGCGTGACCCCTCGAATTCTCGCTTATCATTGCAGCTAATTGATTTTTACATGCAACGTAGTGAATTGAATTTCAAAGAAATTGTGGGAGTGATTGATGCATTTTTGGATAGAGATCCAGAGATTGATCAAAGAGTTCTTTTTGCTCAGAGGAAATTAGAATTTCTTGAGGATTTTGGAACAGCGGAAAGTTTGCAAGAAGCACAACGATCACTACAAACAGCTTTAACAAAACTGAACAAGAAAAAGGATTCAAAAAGGTTATATGGATATTTTTTGTACTCGTTATCTCAAAATAAGGTGTTTTCTATTTATGTATGACATATGAATATTACAATTTCTAGAGATTCAAGTCCTTCCAAAAAGTCGAAAGATGCTGCAGGGTCCGTTCCACCATTACCAGCAACTACTTCATATCAAGGTACAAACAATTCTCAATATGGCAGTCCCTACAATACTAGTCAGAGCAGTATGCAGAGCGGTGCTTATGGATATCCAGCTCATGGTAGTTATAACCAAGGCTATCCCACATCCAGCACTGAATACCCTTATCAATGGGGACAATATTCCCAAGGCCAATATAGTGGTTATGGTGCATGGGGAAGTTATCCTAATTACTACTAATTCATAAATCGCGTCTTAGATTTTTCTTTTTATAGTTTCACAAGTATGTACTAAATATTTAAGTGATGTTTGACTCTGTAACAGCGTTACTTTTGCATTATTTTTTTAATGCAATATACATCTGTAATCAACTTTGCCTTTAATTTTTAATTATCAAAGTGGTGTAAATATTTTTTTAATATCTACATTTTTATTGGTTTTCATTTTCTAGTTTACATTTTAGTTGTAATTTGATTGATGCCTGATATGATAGTGTAAAGACATTTAAATATAGATTTTAAGTTCCTAAAACACAAGCATTTCTTATTTTTTGTTAACATATTCTTATGAAAATAGAATTAATTCTGAAATTAGCTGATATACTAAATATACTCCACACAAACAGTAAAAATACAGCAAAGCGAGCAACACTGTGCATTTGTAAAAGTGCAAACTAATATAGGTATTATATAGTGCTTGAAACCTGGATTTGTAGTTGAAACTAAATTTAGGTTTAATTACAACAGTAAGTCATGGGCAATTATTAAAAATTAGTCCATTATTTAATTTATTGTATTCTGTCCAAGATTATTTACTTTGATATGAAACTTGTAGTTGAATTATCTAGTAATATTATGTTAAATAAGAGTTAAATTTGGTGAGTATCAATAGATTGCAATCTCAGCATTGAAAAATTATACTGAACACTGGTAGCAGGTTATATGAAGTAATTAAAATTAGATTACATGATTCTTTCTTTGTTGGATTCAATTCATTATTAAAATGAGAAAACTTTTTGAGTATTATTATTATTAGAATTAATCTTCCAAATGGTATTGCAAAGCCTTATGCGAATTGATTCTTTGATTTCAAACTGAGCATATACTGTATACTCACTCACTTTTCTAATGTCTATATCCCATCTTATCGTATTGATATTTATTTAATAACTATCGAGCTGTCAGTATCATTACCATTATTATTATATTGTCTAGGATCATTACTTTCTCTGATAATTTTAACATTTCCTAATATATCTCATATTTGAAGAAATCAATCAAAGAATGGTAAAAATATCATCATTGATAAAGTTGTCATAAATTTAATTATTTTATTAGCCATAAAATTTGTCCACACCATAAAAAAAGTAATAAAAATAAAATAAAGTACTGTATTTTTTCTGAATAACACTTCTATATAGATTTTGTAAAAATCACTTTACTTTTCAGTCGGTTTATAGTTTAGTTTATAACACAATTGATCTTTTGAAGATCATGTTTTGTACAGAAATATTTTGCGATCTGTTTTGATAGTATTTCTTACAAAAGAATTTCTGGAAAAATTGGAAAATTGTGATGTTTGAGAACCATCATATTTAACTTCCCGTAGGGTAAGTTATAGAAATCGAAAATGAAAATGTTTAAATATAAATGAAAATATATCTTTACGTTCAGAAGTTTCTGAATATTTTGGCATGCCTTAGAAAAAATGGATGTATGTGTGTGTGTGTGCGGATACAAATTTTCGTCGGCGATTTCGGGAACACCGATTCGAATAATTAACCGATTTGAATAATTCAAAAAACATTCGATTCGTATTGTTAAGGAGACGTGCTGATTATTTTTTGGTAAAGGCAGGTCTAGCCGTTCCGAAGATATGGAGTAAAAAGTGCCAAAAACGGTAACTCAGTTTTTAAAAGAACGGAGCGTCTGATTTTATTAATTCAAAAAACATTTTACTTGCATTGACAAGATGAAGAACTGATTAAATTTCTGAGAAGGCAGGTCTAGCGGTTTCGGAGATGTAGTAAAAAAAGTAAAAAAAAAGCGGTCAAAAATGACCATTAGACATATGCACATTAAATTATCAGATATTTTATGGTGATTTAGATAATGTGTATCAATTTTGTTTACATTTTTATGGATTCCGTAACATTCTTTGTCCGTTAGACGGCGACGCGGCGCTTACGCGCTTCGATATTTCGTCTCTATGCAGCTAAAGCAGTGCGATTGCTTTGAAAGAATGTTCAAAATTTCCAAAATATTTCAAAATAAAAAACATTTTTAGCCAAAAGTTTTTTTTTAAACATTTAAAATTTCTCAAAAATCTAATTATTTCAAAGTTTTAAAATAATTAATCTTTTCTAAAAAAATTAATTTTTGGTACGGGAAGTTCCAGCAATTTTGTTTTCAACAGCTTATCACAAGAAAACAGTTTGGTAAATTTTCACCTAAAATTAATGAGTATCATTCCCAATTAATATGATTCGAGCAGTTTTTGATTTTTTAAAATCGATTCGTTAGTATGAGCTTAAATGTGGACGAAAAGTTTAACTTTCTTTTTGAATTATAAAGAAACGGCTCCGTAGATCATCGCATAAAGCTGACAAACGATAGTCCTCATCAAGATACATCAAATGGTTTTTAAATTACTGAAATCGGTTCAGGCGTTTTTGAGCAAAAGTCGATTAAAGGTCTAATTTTGACAAATGCCAAAAAAACGATACCAATTTTTGCAAACTATGCCGAATTTTTAAAGTTAAACGAGTTGTCGTAGAGCCGTAATATTTTAGTATGATCTATAAGACTATGGTATCTACCGTCAAAAAAATAATAATAATAAAAATCGCCGAATTTTTTTTTTAACACAATTACAAGTCTACAAACGCCTCGGACGATCTCTACCAGAAAGTAATCAGCATGATTTCCAACCAATATCTTTCGAACGGTTTTGAATTTTCAAAATTGATTCAGAGTTGCGGGCTAAAATCTGGACGAATTTTTTTTGACTTTTCTGCTATTTGTAAAGAAACAGCTTGGCCGATCGTCGCACAAAACTGACAAACAATAATCTAGTCATAGATAAAAGAAGAGTATCCAAGAGAAGAGTCCTCATTGGTCCTCATCGAGGTGCATCAAAACGGTCCAGCCGTTTTTGAGAAAACGTCGATTTTCGGCAAAAAATCTGTTCTCGCACACGCAAACACACTTTATTTATCTTATGCACATACATACTTTTTCCAAATTTGGTCCCATTCGATTCAGATTGGCTTGAAACGTCGAGAAAACATAAAATTTGCGAATGAGATTTTTTTATGGAAACATAAACTTCTTCGGGAAGTTAATAAACATGATCCAGTTTATGCTTATTTATCTATGATCCAGTTGTTATATATAATCTACGTTTTTAATCTGACTCTGTCGTTAAATGGCATCATAACGTGAATAGTTTATCGGATTCGATGGAGTTTTAACGGAATTTTTATATAGATGCAAATGATGGTGCTGTTTGACAAATTGGCGCAAATTGTTAAGTTACAATTAACCTAACTAAACCGCGGCAACATAATCCAGCATCCAGCGTAAAACCTAAGATGCAGTAACCAAACGATTGCATTTAATATAAATTGTTATAATATTTTACATCTTCTTACGAACTTGTATAAAATTATCGATTGCGATGGCAAATTTAAAACCCCTACAAGCTCTAAATTTAGGTATTTATAAATGTGTTTTGTAGAAATGCATTGTCGTTAACGTTCATTGTTTCAAATTAACCTGAAATATATTTCCTTAAAGATGCAAACCAGCAACAGAGCTTTGTGCGGTATTATAACAGTTTGGATAAGGTTTGTTCAATGTTTTCATAAGTTTCTTTGTATATCTTTATATATAGTTGCAGGTTTTTTAATTCAGTTACATTTGCTTACAATAGAAACCTGCAACAACGATACGATTCTTCAATCGAGTTGACTATTTTACATTACATGATGAAGATGCATTGTTTGCGGCTACAGAGGTTTTTAAATCCACTTCGAATGTTAAAGTTATGGGCCTACCGCCAAATATGCTAAAATATATTGTTTTGAGCAAAGGAAATTTTGAAAATTTTGTTAGAGATTTGTTGCTAGTTAAACAATATCGTGTAGAAGTTTACACAAATCAAGGGTTATCAAAAAATAATGATTGGGTTATTCAACATAAAGGTTCTCCTGGCAATTTAGCACAATTTGAAGATCTATTATTTAGCAACAACAATGTAACTGAAAGTTCGTTAATAATGGCAATGCAGATATGTGGGGAGTCCCAAAATAAGGTATAAAAAATTAGTTTATTATATTCTCATATGTTAAACAAATGTGCATGATTTTCAGCATTTGCGAATAATTATTTATTAAATACTGATTTTGAAAAATAAAAGCAAACTATTTATATATAAAAGACTTCACCATTAAAAAGTCAATGTATCCATTCATTCTAAGGTTTTTTGAGAGCAGTTATTAATTTTAATGAAACTCAACATATAAGTTCTGCATATAAAAGTTACATAACATGCATCAAAGTTTTTTACAAGGATCTCAGCCTCAACTAATATTTTATTGATAATAATAATTTAATTTATTTAATTAGGTATTTACATATATCTAGTTGATGAGAACTAAAAGTATCAAATGTTCAAGTATTCTAAATTTTATTATATTGTTTACTATTTAGACATTGGCTGTTGCATTTGCTGATGCAGACAATTGTTCATTTTCGGTACATGAATTTGTAGATAATGATGTGTACTCAGAATTAGAAGCTTTAATTGTACAGATCAGCCCAAAAGAATGCTTAATGCCAAAGGCTAATACATCTGAGGTAAAATGTTTTTTATATGTTGAAAATTATTGAAAGTAAATATTCATATTGATGATATAAACACATAAAATAATAATTTAACAACATAACAAAATATTTAAAAGAATTTAATATCTTTTTGTAGATAGATAAAGTAAAAGCGATGTTAGAGCGATGTAATATCTTAGTAACTCAATTGAAGAAATCTGATTTTGAATGTAAGGATATAGTTCAGGATTTGGATAGACTTATATGTTTTGATGAAGGTCAAAAAAATTCTGCGAATGCTTTACCTGAAATTAATATGAAACATGCAATGGGTTCTTTAGCTGCAATAATTAAATATATGAATTTTGTTTCTGACAACTCTTATGAAAAGCAATTTAAATTCACACAATTGGATATGAAACGATTTGTGCATATGGATTCAGCAGCAATAAGCGCTTTAAATATATTGCCAAAGAATACTTTTCGTACTGGTAGAATGCAGAAACATCATAGTATTTTAGGATTGCTAGGTCACTGTCGAACATCTCAAGGCCAGAGGTAATATTTATTTTTGTTTTTAACACATATTGATAAATAACACATCATATGATTTACATTTTCTAGACTTCTGGCTAAGTGGGTCAAACAACCACTGCGTGATATTAATGAAATAAATGAACGCCACGATATTGTGGAAAATTTTGTTAATGATAATGAATTGAGGCAGAATTTACATAATGATTTTTTGAAAAGAATTCCAGATTTTCAGGTAATCTATTTTCTAGTGTATAACAGTTTATCACTATTTTAAGACACAATACATATTTGAAGAAATTGATATTTTAAAATTAGTATGGGAATATTATAAAAGCTGTTGTATGTTATCATTATCGTTTTTTTTTTCTTGAAGTATTTGATTAGTTGATCAGTTAGTGAGTTTGTCAATTTTTTTTTTTTTTTGCTAGTTTTGTTTATCAGCTTTTTATTATAATTATTTATCAATATTTAATCGGTTCGAATAACATAACTACTTTGATTTTAGATGTTATCTAGAAAATTATTGCGTAAGAAAGCAAATTTACAAGACTGCTATAGGCTATATCAAGCCATCGAAAAATTACCTCAGTTAGCGGCTTTGCTATCTAGAAATCAGAATTCTGTTGTGAAAAATGTGTTTGTTGAACCATTAATTGATTGTATACAGGTTTGTAGTGACTACGTGTGCATATAGATATTTTTATGTGTAGTTATGTCATAATGAAATTTTTTTTATAGAGCATGGAAAAATATCAGCAAATGATAGAACAAAATGTTGATCTTGATCAAATTCAACATGGGGAATATTTTTTAAAACCAAATTTGGATGTTGAATTTCAAGCTTTGTATGATGAAATGCGAACTTATGAGAAAAAAATAGATTCATGTTTTTCAAAAGCAGCGAGAGAGTTGGGATTAGAAAGTGGCAAAACTATTAAGCTTGATAGCAATCCTCAATTAGGTCATTTTTTTCGAGTTACTCTAAAAGAGGAACCTGTACTAAGAAAAAATTCTGACTTCAAAATTCTTGATGCAGTCAAAGGAGGTATAATATGAAATGAATGTTTTCATTTAAATATGCACATATCATGTATGTATGTATATTTCTATATGCATCTGTGCATGCATCTTATATATATATATATATATATATATATATATGTATATATATATATATATATATATATATATACAGTAGAATCCGCTTAGTATGACATCGAAGGGACGCCGAAATCTCGTCATACTAACCGGTCGTCATTAAAAGCGTACTGAAGAAAAACTTTTTAATATGTAAATATGTTACATGTTTCAGTAATTTAAAAGAAAAGCCTATACAAACGTTTTAATTAAAAATAAAAATGACACAATAAAATTTAATATAAAATAAAATTGACATAGGGTAGGGCGTGGCACAACGGTCCAATTTGACTTACGGCGAACAGATGCAATTTCTTCTATTAAATTTTAAAGGCATTTTATGCTACATTATTGAACCAATGCAAAATATTAATTTTGTGGGTACATTTGTTACAAAGACAACACAGTATATTACATTGATCTGCTATTGGTCAGAAATATTCATCAGAAGAGCCGGAATAACAATTTATTCAATTAATCTCTTGTAAAATTGCTTTTTTTAAACTTTACTATTTTATTGCTTACACCTTTGCCAAAGTAAAGGTTCAGCTGGTCCTTTTTATCGCACTCATGTGCTGCTTATCTTCTGATAGCAAAGTCATAAGAATAAATGTGATGGCTGGTTATGAATTTATACATTTTTTGCCCTCTACTATCAAATATAATTGTTAAAAAAAATCTAATTTCATTTGTTTATGAGATATCCGTGGTGGGCCATTAATAATTAGTCTCCCCTACCCATAAACATACAAATGTGTTTTTTTAATGTAAGTAATCAGTAATTTTTTATTGATTTCTTTACATAAATTTATTGTAAAAACAGTCCCTGGTGCTATTGTGCACAAAAGACATAGCAATTGCTTTCGTAGACTTGGCCACATCATGTAAAATCATGTCGGTCATTATAACTGGACATATTTTTTTGCAAAAATGGGTCATTATAAGCGACATGTCAATGTAAGCGATGTCAATATATCCGACTAGACAGCTGTTTTTTTAAGGAATTTTATATGCAAACCAAATTCCTAGTGCGATTACGTCATATTAAACGGTGTTAAAACTAGTGTTTGCAAACTATCGATACTATCGATGGTTTCAGACTTTTTTCTTTCATAAATACTTTTTTGTGATATGAACATACTTCGCAAAAATTTAATTTGACAAAAAAAATTTAGGTACATAAAATTTCAAATCGTGCTAAATGGAATAAATTCGTGTAAAAAATTTAAAAATATTCAATTTTCAAACCGTGTTATATCAAAACCGTGTACAAAAAGACCGTGTAAAAACAGACTTAGGTGTATATATATAATACATTCTTACAAAAAAGGTAAGGCGTAAGGTTCACACGCGATTGAAGTAAGTAAAACTTATTTGCTACTGTACAAGATGGCATTTAAATAAAAATAAATACATTATGTAACGATTTTGAATAATATTTATTAGTAATATGATAACACTTGTGATGAACACATTTATTAGTGTCAACCATTATACACATTTCTATAATGATAAATTATAAATTATATATTTATAATAGCATTAAAAATATGTATAATATTTAAAAAGAATAATGTAAAATAAGTCATACTTCAAATATGGCATTAAAGGTTTATCATTGTAATTAGAATTTAGAAATAGAGAAATGAAGTAATTACTGATTAATAAATTCTATAATATTCGTTCACACAGTGGATTATGTTAGACAACGTCTAAACAAATATTGTTTTCGAAACTTCACTCATCATGTAATTGTGTTCGAAGAACTTCATGTAATTAAAATTAACATACATTTGCTGACTGCTTGTATTTGTTTTTACTTTTTCGCTGGCGATATAATGTCATTCTTTGAACAGCTGTAATATCTGTCTTGCCTAAAATATATTTTCCATTTCAATAACTTTCATTATTTTCATTATAATTATTTACGGGGGATAGGGTAAAATATTCTTCCGATTCAGGCATTTTTCATTAAATCAAGATTTGCACTACGATGTAACTTTGAATTGTTCATTTATCTATGCCGATTTCCTTGTTGACATCGGTACGCATACAACGTTGATGCCGGTACGCATACAACGACAGATCTCTATTCACATACACGACGACTAATCACAATCGACCCGCATAGAAATGATCTCATTTCGGTTCGGAGTTAACATCAACAGTTCGGGCGTAACGGACTTCGCATTTGTACGGATTTACATCCTAGTCGCGCCTAAAGAAGTTTTACTTAAAAATAAAACACTATCTAATTTATAATTCTTTTTAATTTTCAGGTGTTCGTTTTACAAATGACCGACTGCAACAGTTAAATGACGATTATTCCATAGCTCGCAAATCTTATCAAGATAGACAATCAGTTATTGTTAATGAGATAATTGATATAGCTGCTGGTTATGGCGAACCACTTACAATGCTTTCTTTACTTATTGCTAAACTTGATGTACTCGTTAGCTTTGCAGTATCTGCTTGTGAAGCACCTCAGAAATATATTCGGTTAGTTAAAGATTTTGATTATATAATATTATCATTGTTATAAAAATGATTGATAACTGCCCTTATCATAACCACATAAAATATATTGAGAGAGGATTAGCTTCAATACCTTTAACTTGGTAAAAAATTTGAATAAGTTTTGTAAATATTTCACATTTACAAATGTTTTTCTTCATTGGTTTGATTCTGACAGAATTTATGTTTATCTAATATGTATATAATATATTTATTTTTAGGCCTAATATGCTAAATAGTGATGTCGGCAAAATTAAATTGAATGGAATCAGGCATCCATGTTTAGAGTTACAGGAAGACATGAGTTATATACCCAATGACGTCGAATTTGATAAAGGTAAATTTTTGAAACATAAATTTTGTATAATTGTGTTGAATTTGTTAATGGTAATTTTACAAATTTAATATTAAAATTTACTTTTACATCACCAATAATTAATTCTGCTGTAACAAACAGATTTGCAGATATAATATAGTAAAAAGGTGTTGTATGATGGTTGTATGATTTATAATTTAGACAATATGGAATCCAATATTATTAATAGTTTTTCTCTGTAACAGATGGTACAACAATGCACATTATAACTGGCCCTAATATGGGTGGTAAAAGTACATACATTCGTTCAGTGGCTGTTGCTGTGCATATGGCCCATATAGGTAAAATAAATTTTACTACTCTTTAGCACATTACTATATGAAACATATATTATATATTGGAAATCTCACACTATTCTTTCCTGGATCAAGTTCATGTTTAACTCAGCACACGGTACTACCCACTATTACTATTGTTATTATTTTATATATACTAGCAAACCCGACGAACTCCGTTTCGTGAGAAAGATGAAGAAATTTTTTGTTTTATATTTGAAAAGGAAAAATTTGATTTTATTATACAACAGTAATGAATTTATTTTGATTACAAAAATGAAGTATTTTTTAATTGAACTTCTCTAAGTAAATTAAAGTGAATCCGCAAATTATCCATTTTATTGAAGTGCTCTTTAGTAAACCAAATTTTTTGTTTTTTGGTCTGTCGTTAACACAAACAAAGCGGATGGTTTTCCAACTCGTGAACAGGCAACATATAACTGCCCATGTGAAAAACAATGATTTTATAAATAATCTATTTGAAATTTATCCTGCAAACAGTAAGCTATTGGCCTTGCGACTTGTTAACTGTCATTGCGAACGCAAGGCGAACTGGAAATTGCAATTGTTTGAAGTCAAACGGAAGACCAGTCAGAATCTTTGGTATGTCACCAAATCGCCAGCATTTTTTGATTGAATGGTGAAATTCAGTGCGTGTATATCATATTTCTTGGCGGCAAGAATTGCTCGTTGATTTAACCAAGCATAATTCTGATAATTATCACTAACGTCATTACTCGAATTTTTAATTACGGTGCGTGAAGCTCCAGCAATTTGCATTAGGGCCCGATGCCATTAACCATTAATTTTCTTAGCTTTAACCTTATGGAGCCCGAGACCTTTCCAACGAATGCAAAATTGTCGAAATCGGTTTGTGCGTTCTGGAGTTAAATCGTCAGGAAGGAAAACCCGACTTATTTTTATATATATGTAGATATTATATATATATATATATATATATATATATATATATATTAATTTGGAAATATGAACAAACAACACTCTTTTTTGCACTAATTTATTAAATAATAATTTTCATAAACGTTTTGAGATTAGGTTTGTCTCATCATCAGTGTGTTATAATTTAAAATTGAAAATATGGAAATATAATTTAGCATTTTGTGTTATCCATTACAAGTCGCTCGATACACAATGAGTGTATACATACACTCTTGCTCAATGAGTGTATCGAGCGACTTGTAATGGATAACACATAATGCTAATTTAGGTTTCCATATTTTAAATTTTAAATCATAACACACTGATGATGAGACAAACCTAGTCTCGAAATGTTTGTGAAAATTATTATTTAATAAATTAGTGCAAAAAAGAGTGTTGTTTGTTTATATTTCCAAATTAATATCTATTATCCACTCAGAATACATTTGTTATATATATATATACATATATATATATATATATATATATAGTTTTAGGTGAAAATCTACCGAGCCGTTTTCTTGTAATTAACTGAACTAAAAAATAATTATGCCGATTTTTATGGAACTTTTTTTGGCGATATATATCATGGTCTTATATAACTTACTGAATTATTACAGCCTTACGACAAGTAGTTGAATTTTAAAAATTCATCAGAGTTTGAGAAAATGAGTAGTTTTTTTGACGTTTGTTAAAAATAAAATTAGATGATTTAGTTGGTATAACGATAGTGTACTTGGTCTTGAACATAGTAAACCATTAAAGTCCTACGGAAACTGGTTCAATTATAATTATTGCTTAATTAAAATTATTGATTTTGGAAAATTTGCTTTTAGAAACTACTCCGACCGGGTTAACGTGTTCGTTCGTTTTCAATGATGTGTAATTAATTCCACTCGGAATACTATTAATCACTCATAAATTAATTTATTTTTTATTGATTAAGTCGATTATTTACACATTTCGGGAAGTTCATGTAACTTGCCTCAAGGCAAAATACCAATACCAACTAGTTATATGTTATTTCAGACGACGAAACCTGTCGTCGTACAAAATTTCATCAATATCGTCGAAAAAAATTTTCTTTTCAAACACATTTTCTAACATAACTAACCAATATCTATCGAACAGTTTTTACATTTTGAAAACCGATTCAAGATTGTGGACTAAAACGTGGATGAAAAATTTTATAGTTTTCTGCCAATTACATAGAAACGGCTCAGCCGATCGTTGCGTTTGAATTTTTTTTAAATCGGTTCAGTCTTATTTGAGAAAATGTCACCAAAATCAATATACACCAAAATTTTCCAAATTTGGTCTCAGTTGATTCGGAATGACTTGAAAAGTCGAGAATACGTAAAATTAGCAAATAAGTTTTTTTTTTGCTAAAACTAACTTCTCCTTTTAGAAATTAAGAATTGATATATTATTGGCTATCGAACATTTAAAAGCACACTAAGAAAGAAATTTTGTATAGACCCAAGAAAATATAACAAGCTGCTTCAATATAAAACTAATAAACCAAGTATATAAATGATAAAAAATAAATATAAAAAAATAAAATTTCAATCACTCAATAATTGCAATTAAATTATTTATTTAATATAGTCAGAAATATTGGATGCTTCTGGCCAGAATTTATAAAAACGTGATGAATTTGATAGAAAAATTTAGACTAAAATATCATATGAACAATATTAGTGGTTTACAAATCATTAAATGCTTAATATGTATATACTCATACTTATACTTATATAATTATGTTTATTATAATTTTAATTTTTTAACATATTTCTTTTTTCACGTAACAGGTTCTTTTGTTGCTTGTGAAAGTGCTGATATAAGTATAATTGACAGTATTTTGGGTAGAGTAGGTGCCGAAGACAGTGTTACAAAAGGCCTTAGCACCTTTATGATTGAAATGATTGAGACTTCTGGCATCCTTAAGGTAAAGCCCAGGATTTATTTTTCTTTATGATTTTTTTAATGAAATATTTAATCTAGAATATTTGCGATTGTTAAATTTTTCAGGTTGCTACAAATAAATCTTTGGTGATCATAGATGAATTAGGCAGGGGAACATCAACTTATGAAGGTTGTGGAATTGCTTGGGCCATTGCTGAGTACGTATCATCTTTTATATAAATTAATTAAATACATCATATAACATTTTAATGCAATTTATATATTTTAATTGTTGCATCTATTCATACACAAGTTGTAATAATACTTCAGAATAATAGTCCTTACAATTTCTTTTTAGTATATATTTGCCTAGCATATTAATTGGTCAAAATATATACTGATTCTAAAATTGGTCTAAATATATTGCAGATACTTAGCTACTGAGGTAAAATCATTTACCCTATTTGCTACTCATTTCCACGAAATAACGAGACTGGCTGAAGATTGTTCTAATGTTCGCAATGCTCATGTATCCGCCTTATGTGACGGCGATGTTTTCACTTTATTGTATCGTATTAGACCTGGTGTTTGTAATAAAAGCTTTGGAATACAAGTTGCTAGAATGGCAAACTTTCCTGAAGAAGTTGTAAAGGTAAAATATGAAGTCACTGTAAAATTGTTAATGTCTCCTTGTCTTAATATGCTTAATGTTTATTGGTTGTTATTATATAAAACTTTAAAACATTGTAATCTCACTAATCCAGCATCTTCCGCCAACATGTTTCTTGTTATAAAAAAAAAGTCAACAAATATGACTTACATGTCAGCGATAGATGGCTGGATCAATTAAAAAAGTTATTTGGTATACGTCTATTACCCATGGTGCAAAATTATCAAGCCATGATTTGCAGTAAAGCCTTTTATTTAGCTACTTTTAAAACAATGTAGAAGAACTGCCTCTTCTAAATCTATAACGCAGATGAGAGTGGTTTGCTCTGGAGACTGTCACCCAATGAAATTCCTTATTTTATTACGTAATATAATGTATGTATTACATACCTATGATTTTTTTATACCCTCCGATTATTAATAGTGCCGGATTAGTGAGATTACAGTGTACACTGTTCTAAACTTGAGTTATACCAATGCTCAGCTGCTTGTAAATATTATTTACAGTATGCTGAACATAAGCATTCAGAATTAGAAGATAACACAGTAGATGCTGATTTTAAAACTATTGAGGAAGCTGATAAAATTATTGAAAGTTTTCTAAAGAAATGCAAGGAAGATATTTCGGAATTGAATGATCAACAATTGAAGCAAAAATTGGATTTATGCTTTCAGGAACTAAATGAAACCAATAATAATTACTTGAAAGCACTTTTGACCAGATTTAAGTTATAGATAATGTCAAATTTTATTGATATTGTTTCTACACGTAATATAATGAACATATGAACTGTATTACTATTTTTTATATTAAAATTAAATATAACATTTATTTTAAAATTAGTATAAAATCCAGTTTTACATATGAACGACATTTAAAAAAACTTAACATATTAAATAATTTCATACAAATTTTAAAAGCAAAGATTTTTAAATCGGTTGCAGATTCCATTTTATTTTTTATGATGAAGCTCATTGCTTCATAACTAGAAGATATTGGGTTGAAGTTTGAATACCGGTTAATCTAATGTCATGCAGTAGTGATATCCATTTTTATTTCAAAATATAAACTTATGTTTCTAATTGGAATTAAATCTTTTGTGCAATAAATTGGTAAAGGCAATACTTCGCGCAATACTTCCTTGCCTTTGTTCGAAACTTTCACATATATAATATAACAACGATATAGTACGTTGTATGAAGCAAAGTGGAACGTATATATTTATATATATATTATATTGCAGAGCTTCGAACAATGATTCCTAACGTAATAAAATACAAGAGTTTTTTCTAACCAATTTTTTGTTTATTTATTTACTGTCAACGTTCTGGAAATAGGTACGTTCCATTTTCACGACATCTGTCAAGAAATGTGATCTTGTTTAGATTTAAACAAACGATATACTTACTTAAGAAAAATAGAAATTGATGGTTTTTTATAAAATTGTGAAAGAGATGACATTAATAAACAGATATGACAATATAATCAAAGTAAAAATGATAAAAGTAAATGAGCGCATTTAATAACGAAATATTAGAATTATTAGAAAAACAAAAAGTTTTTTAGAAAGGGTTATCAAGAAAAAACAGAATTAATTACGTGTCCGACTGTACACTACACTTTGTAACTAAAATCAAAAAAATGTTAATTTGTTTTTATTAATTTCTTTTAAGAAAGAACTATTTTCGTAAATAATGTTGTTAGTTATAATGTTTTTTTGAGTTACAACGCTTTCAATATGGTGTTAACGTAAGATCGTATCACAACCTGTTACGATTCCTATTTAAATCTCTTACATTCTTCGACAAATAATTAAAAAATCATTCTTTTTTTAGTTTTATACGTCAGTCTATTTTTGAAGTTTACTTTTCTGTTTTAGTACTTTAGTAATATATTGACGTCCATTTAAAGATCAATATATTAAGGGCTTACACAACTGTAGATTTTTCAAAAACCAAAAAAAAATTTTTAAGCTTAAAATTTACTTTGAACCTTTTAGAATATGAGGAAAAATATTCCATACCTAAAACTTTATTTTTTTACTTGTAATTATGAGCTTTTTCCCATGCGCGTCAGGCTGCTCCGAACCGACACCGCTCAAATTCATTAACAAAAAATATTATAAAGAAAAATGAAAACGTGTATCTTCTTAAATATACTAATATATGTTATTATTAAATATTTATATTGCATAAATTAACTGTAAAAGCATTTTTAACCAATAGATGATCAGTGCAGAGTCAACACATATAAGGGTTGACTATATTGCGGCTGATATTGCTGAGGATAATATCAACGATGGCCTAAGCAATATTTTTTAAATGGAAATAGTTTTGGAGATTAATATTGGCATCTAAACATGTAATTTTTGTCTTAAAGTCGATTATAAACGTCTTAAGCATGCCGAACGGTCTTTGACGGATGCGCCAAAAGTAGGGCGCTCTGATATAAAATCTTTAAGGGAATATAATAAGAAAAACTAGCTGTAAGTGGAATTCTGTCTTAAGGCAATTAAGGCATCGTGCCTTAAGGCAAATTGCTGGAACTTCCCGTACCAAATATTATTTTTTTTAAAAACGATTAACATTTTTGAAAAAAATTCACTTTGAAAAAATAAGATTCTTGAGAAACTATAAATTGGACAAAAAATTACTTTTTTTGAAAAAAAATTTTTTTAAAAAAAATAATTTTTTTTTTTTTTGAAAAAAACATTTTTTTCTTTATTTTGACATATTGTGGAAGATCTGAACTTTCTTTTCAAAGCAATCGTACTGCTTTAACTGCATAGGGACAAAATATAAAGCGCGTAAGCCCCGCGTCAATGTCTAACGCATAAGCATTGGTACGGAACCCATAGGAATGTTAACAAAATGTATACTTATTGTTAAAATCTCTATAAAATATCTGATAATTTGATGTGCATATGTCTAATGATCATTTTTGACCGCCAAATGGCTCATTTTTTTACTTTTTCCTCCATATCTCCGAAACCGCTAGACCTACCTTCATGAAAATTTTATCGATTCTTCATTTTGTCAATACAACTAAAATGTTTTTTGAATTATTCAAATCGGACGCTCCGTTCTCTTAAAAACTAAGTTACCGTTTTCGGCACTTTTTGCCCTGTATCTTCGGAACGGCTAGACCTGCCTTTGCCAAAAACTAATCAGCACGTCTCGTTATCAATACGAATCGAATGTTTTTTGAATTATTCAAATCGGTTGATCCGTGTTCCCGAAATCGTCGACGAAAATTTGTATCCGCACATACATACACACACATACATACATACACACACACACACATACATCCATTTTTTCTAAGGCATGCCAAAATGTTCAGAAACCTCTGAAACGTAAAGATATATAAAAATTTTCATTTTTGATTTTTTTGCGATTACTATAACTTGCCCTACGGGAAGTTAAAAAAAATAAATAAAAAGGCATCTGTATGTTGCTGGGATATCAGATTAATAGTAAAAAATATTAAACTGATATTTTTTCTATTTTTTCTTATTCTCGAAACACGATTTTACAACGCGTTTTTCTCGAAACACGATTTTACAACGCGGCACGAAAAATAATTTTTTTTACAATATATTTAAAATCACATTTTTAAGTGCCCGTCATGGGAGATCTTTTATATGTTAATTTGTTCATCAATTATTAACAAATTTATATCCGTTTTTTTTTCGTTGAAATTCAACGATTTTGAATAAAGTGCTCGCCAAAGGAACAAAAATCGATATTTTTCAAATCCGCTACGATGGGCACTTAAAAATGTTATTTTAAATATACTATTGAAAATTCAAATGAAAAATGTTTAAATTGTTGTAGTTATTTTGCGTGCTGCGGAGCGCCTTCAATTTGACGCGGCTCGCCGAAATGGCTGTGGTACCGTCGTTTTTAATTTTTTTTACAATTATATTTTATTTTGTTACTTCAAAGTACAGTAAATAACTATCTTTAATATCATGATTTTATTACATTTTCTTCCGCCCGAAAAAAATGACCAAAACATACGTTTTTTAGGCTGCTACAGTGGTGTAACGCCTTAAGTTTTTACACCCTGATGATTAAAAACAACACACATACATACATCTTGTAACCCAAATGTTTCTCCTTAAAATTCATCTGTATAATAATCAGTTTGTCACCAAATCGTAACCCCATAACATTGAGGGAATAATACTTTTTGTTTCACTTAGCAAACTCGAAAAAACATAACTAATGACTTAAATTTACAACTAGTGGTGTATGTCATCGTGCCTTAAGGCAAATTGCTGGAACTTGCCGTACCGTAACGAAATGTTCGAGGAATATTAAATGGTTTCAAACAGATTATTATAAATTCTGTAATATCGTCCAATATTTATAAGAATTATATGAACTGAATTATAAAGTTATAATTATTCACTTGTGCTTTAGAACTTTAACCATAATTAAAATTTAAATCTGAATTATTTTCGATGATTAAAAAAAAAGAAAAATTGAAAAAAAAAAAAATATGAAATTTTTTTTCCAAAAGCAATTATTTTGTCAACACAAGCAGAAAGTTTTTTGATTCATTCAAATCAGATGCTTATTTCTCTCAAAAACTGCCATTTTTTGTACATTTAGCTCTGTATCTTCTAAATGGCTGGACCTGCCTTTGCCAAAAACTAATCACCACTTCTCCCAATCATTACAAATTGAATGTTTTTTAGATCATTCAAATCGGATGTTCTCTCAAAAACTCGATTTCTATTTTCTGCACTCTATGCTCCTTATCTCCGTAACGGCTGAACCTGGATTTGCCAAAAACTAATAAGCACATCTTCCTATCAATAGGAAGCGAATGTTTTTTGAACCATTCAAATCGGTTGATCCGTGCGCCCTAAAACTTGAACGAAAAATGCGGACACACACACATCGATTTTTTTCTGAGGTATGTCAAAATATTCAGAAACCTTCAAAACGTGTTCTTTGTTCGAATATTTTGCTCTACAAAATATATCTACAAAATAATCTAAGACTCTACCATCTAATATATATACGAGGTGTGTTCAAAAAGTACCCGGAATTACTAATAATTAAATTTCGCAGGTCTGGAGTGTCTGATTGTCAAAATTTTTTTTTATTGTGTTGGTATACATGCCCCTAAAGTATGATGAAATTTTCAGCTATATTCACTGTTTACTTTGTCTGTGGTAGTCGCTAAGGTTCGACGTGTTTTTCTGAGCTCGGCGATTTTTACAATGGAAGAATTGAAAAAGTCAAAGAATTTGTATTAAATTTTGCGTAAAAAATGAAATAAAGTGTTGCAAAGTGCAAAAATTCACCAGATATGGCTCCGTGTGACTTTTTCCTATTCCCAAAGTTGAAGAGACCCATGAAAGGACGGCGGTTTTCCTCGATTGAAGAAAATCGCCGAGAGTGCTCAAGGACATATCAAAAAGTGAATATCAAGGGTGCTTCGAAAATTGGAAAAAACGCTGGCATAAGTGTATTATATCTGGGGGGGACTACTTTGAAGGGGACCACATTAATGTAGACGAATAAATAAATATTTTTTTGAAAAAACGAAAATTCCGGGTACTTTTTGAACAGACCTCGTATATATATATATATACGAGGTCTGTTCAAAAAGTACCCGGAATTTTCGTTTTTTCAAAAAAATATTTATTTATTCGTCTACATTAATGTGGTCCCCTTCAAAGTAGTCCCCCCCAGATATAATACACTTATGCCAGCGTTTTTTCCAATTTTCGAAGCACCCTTGATATTCACTTTTTGAT